ATGGCCCCGGGGGCCATGCCCCTCCCAAAGGGCCCAGCTACCTCCCTGCTGCCACCCACTCAGTGTCCCTCCCTCCACTTGCCGCAGCCTCCACCTCACAGCGCCATCACCCGCCCCAGACCACGTCCCCGGGCATGACCCACCCCAAACCCCACCTGGATTCTGCCCCCACCAGGCCCCCAGCCCCCTCGTCTCACCTCCCCCCACAGGGCTGGCTCCGTCTGGAGACCAAAGTGACACCTGCTTCTGGGGTACACTGACCCCAGCCCCGCCCCCACGCTGCAGGGCTGCGGAGAGACAAGAGCGGCAATCTCTGGGGGTCCAGGTGACCCCCATCTCTTCACTGCCTGCCCACTGCCAGCTGGTGCTCACCAGAGGCCCAGGGGAGGCTGCCCCAGCCCAGAGCCTGGCCCTCAGCGCTGGGCCCCGGCCCGGGGGGTGGAGGCCAAGCTGGGCAGAGAGGGAGGGAGGCAGACAGGGAGGGAGGCAGGCCGGGGGGTGGGGGAGCATGTTCCCTGCGAGTCGGAGAGGGCGTCACAGGCTTAGTGCCAACCCCGGGCCCCGGGCGCCAGAGACCCTGAGGGAATAGTGGATGCTGGTGGGGGGTGAAGCCAGAGAGCGGACCCAGAGGGCCTGGGGGCTCCTATTGTGGGGATCGGCTGAGGCTGGGAGGGAGGGCTGGCTGCCAGGGCCTTGGGGGACCCCCGAGACAGCGCCCCACACCTGGCAGGCAGGTCCTCCGGGCGAGCCCACCAGGGCCACACACACTCACATGCCCGGGGCACACTCACACTCCTCAGACACCCCCCACACCAGCCACGCGTGCCCACCCTCACAGGCCACGCAGTCACTCCACACCTCCCGCCAGACCCTCCCCTCCGGCTGCGGGCACTCGGGCACCTCACTCACCAGCTCACACACATGTGCCCGTGTGCACACACACACACACACACACCCGCCCTGTGGCTGGCGCAGGCTCACGCTCCCAGGCACGTGCCTGCCACCCCTGTGCACACGTGTACACAAACCCCTCTCGCTCTCCAGAGGGCAGTGGGTGTGTGCACCCCAGTCAGCCAGCACAGAACACGGACCCCTTAGCACGGCCGACGGGAGGGTGCGGGAGGCGGGCTGTCAGGGCAGGGCCCGGGGAGAGGCGGCTCACCCCCCATTCAGGACTGACATGGGGCACAGCAGGTGCATGGCGGGGGGGGCGGGGGGCCCC